CAGAAGAGCTGCTGCATCATGAAGGTCTGGAAGCGTTAGCAGGTGAACATTCAATTGACGAGGCGGGGCTTACCTGATGCAACGATCCCGATGGCGTTGACTCTTCTGGCCACGCTCTTGGTGGAATAGTTGACGCTCCGCACCATCTCTCTGGCGTGGTCGACAAACTGCTCGACCTCCCGCACATCCTTCACAGGTTCGTACTCTTCCCGCACCTTCTCAGCACGTGTTTCCGCCTTCAGATTGCTTCTCTGCTCCATCATACCCAGCTGGATATCGGGTACGAGGAAGAACTCCCACAGCATCTCGTGCGTAGCGAATGTGGGGTGCTGGAGCATGATTTTGAGGAACCAGTCGGTCCTAGTCTGGATGTCCCGCAAGACTGCTCTCGACGGCTTCGACGGGATCTGGAACGGCGACCGCACCCCGGCTACGGCGGGTATCCACGACGCCGGGTTCTCAAGCGCGAGGAGATTGCCGAGATGCTCGAAATCGGAGAGGTTGCGGCGGCTAGTCGTGACAGTGTAGCTCATGTGGTCGGCGGGGGCGGCCGATTTCAAGACCAAGCGAATGGTCGCATCTTCAACAAAAAAGGCCCTTACGACACCGGTGATACGGGCATCCGCCGCAGGGGGCATGCTAAACAGTGCCAAGTCGTCAATCTTATTTCGAATGTCGTCGTCTTTGGCCAGCTCGACGGCCGTCAGGCTCCGGAGCTCTCGGGCTGCAACGTCGACTCGTGCATCCACATACAACGTCCTCACCATGTCCAGCCGGCCATACTTGCTGGCGACCATCAACGGCGTAAACTTCTTTTCATTGGTTGCGTTGACGTCAACATCGCATTGCTGAAGAACCCTGGCTGCGAGATGGGGATCGTTCACAATGTGAAGCAGCGTATTCCCCTTGCCATCCACATGGTTGTCAATGTGGAGCGGAAGGCCGTCACCCTGGGCTTCCGTGGCCGCGTCAAGGCCGGCATCCACCATTTCATGGTAATGCACATGGTCATAGGAGCGACACAACGCAAAAAGTGGCGTCTGGCCGTTCTTGTCTTTTTGCCGCCAGGGAACTAATTTCCCTATGCGAGATATGAGGAACGGCGCGTGGAACAAGTAATGCGCGCAGCTGCGCCCCCAAATGTCCTGTTGCGCGAGGTATTCCCTTAGGCGCTCTTTTGTCGCGGCCGCCATGACAAAGTTGAGGATGGTGTTAATCATCTCCGCGTGACCTAGTTGAACAGCGGCGCTTAACAGTGTCGTATCTTCATTGTTGATGTCGTCGAGAATCATCTTTGGCGGGTAGTACTCGTCTAGCGACAGCAGGTATTTGAGAACCTCGGGTCTCTCGTTCTGCACGGCCATCATCAGAAGTGACTCGCCAAACGAATTGTGTGTCTGCGACAAGCGATCAATAGAAATATCGCCTTCCAGCACGCTGCCGATGGTCCCATTGCTTGTCGCTCTGGAGTGGTAAGAAATCTCGGATCCGCTGGACATGCTTCTTGTGTCCATAGCTACTCGCTTCACTTTTCGGGGCGCGGGAGGCAGGGGGAAGTCAAGGTCTGTATCGCTGTCCTCGACTTGGAACGGGAATACGTGGCTCAGGCCGGAGCCAGAGGAGAAGCGATCGGATGCTGTGGCCGCCGTGGAAGATCGCCTGGACGCAGAACCATTCGTGTAGCTCCACGTGCCTGACGGCCGGCGACTTGACACCGGGGAGTCATAGATATCATCGTCGACAATCGCATTTGAGTCCGGCTCCATGATCCGTTTGACTCCATCCATCGTGCCGTTGCACACGGCATCCCAAAGCGACTTGTTTCGCTTGCTGGCTCTTCTCAGTCCCGATGAATCGAGAGCAAGGTAGGCCAAGACGGCTTCGAAAGTGCTCAGGGCGTAACCCATTTCGCCATTGTCGACGTCGTCAATGAAGATGAATTGGCGAATGTAGATCAGACGTGCATGCAAATGCCTGACTTGAGCCCGAATAACCACAAACAGGAGTAGCGACACAAGAGTGTCAGCATTGACGGTCAGGGTAGGCTTCTCTGATGAAGAAGCCGCTTGCGCCCGGGAGAGGTCCGTCAGATGAGTGACGGCCTTGATGGTCGACAGCAACAGGTCAAGCATCTCTTGTGGGCTCAGGGCGACAGCCATCTTTTTGAACTCCTCCACGGCAAGACCGAGTTGTATCGTCAGCTCGTGCTTCCCGCGCCAGCCGCCTTCAATGACAATGCCCAGCTGCGACAAGTCGATGAACTCCATCTGCCGGATCTTGGCCTCCAATTCGAGATCATACGGCCGCTTCATTGCGCTGAGGCGTGGGAACAAGAGGTGGTGCACGTTTTCGGTAACGTATCGTTCGATGAGCCTCTCAACCCGAGGTCCAGTCAAATCCGTCGTCGCACCAAGCATTGAGAGCTGTTGCTTGTCGACCCCTTGGAACAAATCAATGGCCGCCGTCACCGCAGTCTCGAGAGAAGCCCTCATAACGTCCTCATCGTCCTCTGCGTAGAAATTCTCCGCCACTGGCAGCCCATTGGGTATGCTGTTGGGTCTTCTGGCAGCGTTCATGCTATTGGAGCGCGCATTTTTCATGGCAGTCGCAATTAGCCCCTCGGGCTCGGGGTCGGGTATGCGCATCGCCGAGGGGGGCGGCGGCAGCGGTCGCTCGAAGACGGTCGTGAACTCGCGGAACAGCTTCTCCAACCCGGGTTGCATTTGTCGCGCAATGATCGGAAAGTGATTGAGCAGGTCGTGGAAGCTCTTGATGTCCTTCTTGCGGGGCAGCATTGCGCCCTCGCCTTCCATTGCTGCCGATCGACTCCGCTCCAGAGCCTGTATTCTCGCAATGCCCTCGATCAGCACGGCAGGCACAATCTTGATCTCGTCCCATACTCCCACGAGAGGTCGGGAGATGTAATATATCAGCCATTGGCGGGGCTCGAGCAGGTCGGGATACCATGTCGCGTCGTTGAGCAGTTGAGCCTGGGCAAGGGACTTGAAGCCTAAGTCGCACACGTCAGCTGATGTCTTTGATGGGCTGTCTGGTCAGCAGGATGGGCGCACCCTTATTACTGTAGACGTGCGTATCCTTAATGACGACTGTGCGGCCGTTGATGGTCTGGTACTGCTTCGCCTTCCCCCTCAGCTCCCGTAAGTTTTGTGCAACATCCTTGCCACCGGCGGCACCGGCGGTGTTGGAGGCGGGTATGCGCAAGACGTGGCTAGCTAGGAAGTCCTCAGAGGTGATGACCTCGTGGAAGGTCGAGCCGCTCTCGGACTCGCGCGAGGTAAGGAGCACATCGGTGGTCGGGACCAGGAGGATGTGGTGATGGACCGGCGTGCACTGTGACGGCAGGGAGCTTCGGAAGAAGGCAGCGAGGAATGGATTTAGGGGTTGCATTCATTCGACTGGCGCTGGACGTTCTCGACCAGCTCACCCGGCCGGGAAGCCAGGATTGCAAGAGGGGAGGAGGAGAGGAAGAGGACGAGATAGAGCGGATGGCGATCGGGTTGACGGCGGGTCGGAGGCACGGAGGTGCCGGGGTCGAAGCTGAGCAGGAGGATCGGATCGGCGGAGGTTCAAGGCGAGGTACGTCGGAAGTGACTGTGTCGGCGGTAGTGCGGGTGCGCGGAGAGGGCTGTCGGTGCCAATGTGATGCAGGATCGCGGGTGTCGTGTGTGGTCGAAAACAAGGAGGCAGTCCGTGTCGCTGTGGTGTTGAGTGTCGTTCCGTGATGACGAAGGCAGGCAGGCGTGGCAGGCTAGGGAATGCAGGCTGGTGGTGCTGGTGATCGCGATTCCCCTGGACAGATAGCCAGCAGTGAAGCAGCATGGAAGGTGTGGAAGCTGATGTGGGCCAGGCACTGACCTCATCCAGGTCCCGCTCCCACTGGACGCCGCTGCCAGGGGGACACCTGGCTGCTGCTGCTGGCCGCCAATGGCCTGCCGTCTCGGCGCTGAAGAGCTTCGCTGCCCAGTACCACTTTCTCCACTATTCCGGGGGCTTTGGCCCTTCTGATTTGACAGCTGAGCCTGGGCGGAATGCGGAGGAAAAGATATCCGAGCAGGACACTGGAGAGCCGCCTGCCTGGCCCGGCCTTAACCTTATCTTATCTGCTCCACTGCACAGGACGAACATCACAGGCAGTGGCAGTTGGCCGAACAGGCAGCCAGCGAGCCGCCTTGCCAGTTTGGGCCACCAGCCACATTGCTGCCTTTGAAGCCTCCAATCTCCTCTTCCTGAGAACGCCCCTGTTCACGAACCCTTCAATCGGAGTCTCTTTCTGTTGGTGGCCAAGCCGAGCTGAGCAGCCAATTCGTTCAATAATTGCCCAGTTCGTTGGCGAGGTCGTCTGATGGGCCTTCTTTTGGCACACGAATGGTGCTGCTCTCATGCAGGAGGCCGTCCACACAAGGGGCTGTAGACACATGATGGAGGAGCGATCGCAGCCTGCTTTCTCGTCACTCTTCCTATTATAATTAGTGAAGACACTCGTTTCCTTCATATGCAGCATACATCCTCCACATCTTACTCAATTGTGCGTCGGCAATTAGTGTGGTCTATCCATCACATATCTCCTCCAATACCACCTAGCATCAATCTATTCTAAATACCCACGTCATTTGTACGCCTAGCTTGCAGTCTATCTCAAGCTCATTTCGTCTCTTCCAGCTCAATCAAGCACCTGCTATCCACAAGAGCTTCCTAGCCTCATACGCCACATGGCTTCCTCCCCTGAGATGGAGGCGTCAGCCTCCACAACGGCAAGCGAGACTTCTTCAACTGCAACCCAAACAACTGCAGCCCACAGCTGTCTGCCATTCTCACCTTCACGACATGACCACCCGGAGATCTACCAGGCTCTCGAGGATATCCCTCGATATCTCTTCCGGGTCCATGCAGCCAGCACGGCTGGCGAAACCACGGTCGAGCATGTCCTTTCAAAGGCGGCAACACTGGGTAAGACTGGTGCTACCAAAGACATATTCTCCATGCCAGTCCGAGAAGCTGCAGAGATGCTCAACTGTCACCTGCGTAACTGGCCCCGTGACAGCGACAACCTCATGTCCTGGTCCAGCTCGCTCCTCTTTGCACTCCAATACGCTCTCTACCGCAACATTAAGCCCAACCCCGATAACCTCTCAGATATCCAAGTATTCGTGCTAGACACCTCGGGCCTCCCGCCAGGGGCATTCATCCCGGATACCGCTCTCTTGAATGTCTACGCCGGCAAGGATTCGCACAGAGAGTACAATCTCTCCAAAATACGACACCTCCGCCGGAACACCTCGTACAACTTTGGAGAGTACTTGTGTCAAGGGTCCCTGTCCATAGAAGGCCACTCGATCTCCGCCAGCCTGCAGGACATCATAGGCCACGGCCTATTCAAGCTGTGTCCTGAGATGCAGGAGCCGAACGAGAAGCCAGAGCTGGCCAAGAGAGTCTGCAAGCTGCGGACAGATTGCTTCGCGGTCACAACCTCTGCAACCCGGCTCGAGGTTCGCACGGCATTGAGCCTTGCGATCGGTTGTTTCGGGGACGAGTGGGCGTTGCCGATGATGGCTGCCCTACTATCATTCCGCAGGCGGCGTCGTAACGACTCGGTGATCATTGACGCTTTCAAGGCTAATTTCTCAGGTAATTTATCATCCTATGGAATAGTTAGACATATCAGGGAGTGAGATGGACCCGGCTGACACAAGCACAGGCAAAGAGATGCTGCGACATGACCTGGGAGCTCTCAAGTCCTTCTCGCACGAGAAACTCCCCGAGGTCTACCAGTTTGAGAAGATCATTCAAGATATCCACAGTGACCAGTGCACAAGAGCACTAGACTCGGTCATAGCTTCAACAATGAAGCTCTCTCGTGAGTCTCCTGCTACAAGTCCCTACCATTCAATGACTAAATGCTCGCAGTTTCGTCTCAGTCACCTGCGACACCGGCGAAGTTTGTACCGCTGATCAACTACATTGATATTGATGAGGATGAAATATGGGATGTGTGATGTGTGATATCCTGCACCCATATCAGAACACTATTCACATTAACCGACACTATTATATACGCTTTAGAGTATCTAGAACGAAAGCATCACGGGGAAAAAACGTGATATCGTGAGTAAAGTTATATATCATAGAAAATAATTATAACATCTAATCTAAAGGTGACATTTATTAAGAAAGGTTCTTACTTGACGATATATGCTAACAACCTTGGGCGTGACGCGACGTTTATAACTCACGAACGAGAGGTACAAAAATGAAAAGTAAAAAAATAAACCCGTTTGATTGTTCTCTGTCAATCGCGGTGAGGATTTGAGCCTCACGCGGGGGTCGAACCCGCAACCTTGAGATTAAGAGTCTCACGCTCTACCGATTGAGCTAGCAAGGCGGGTCTACTGTGATGGCGACAGGGGCCAGTTCCGGCGTCCATGGTGGCGCATGCCTCTGCGCTGGAGGTGTTCCAGTGCCCAGGGCGCTGAAGTTGCGGCATTGTGCACTGAAGCGAGCGCTGAAAAATCGCAGCAGAGTGCCATCGAATCGTTCCAGTGTAAGTGGTCTATTTTGTACAAAGGATAGCTCTCTGCGATCGAAAACGCCCTCCAGCCGGTATTTGTTCTTCGCGTACAACGAACAAAAGAAAATTCCCTGCCAGGGCCCCTAGAACTGATGAATCTGGTCCTTGCGATACCCCAACTCCTGCAAAATCCCAGGCACAGTCCTCTTCCCAACCAGCGCCGCCTCCATCGCCGGCGGGCCGCACACAAACACCTTGGTCTCCGCCGTCTTCGGCACCGGCGCGACCTCCTCCAGCAGCTGCTTCGTCACATAGCCCTTGCGGTACGGCGACCCGGCCACGGGGTTGCTCACCGTATACACCGCCCTGAAGCGCCCGGGGAACTCCCTCTCAAACTCCTCAAACTCCTTCTTCAGGAGCACGTCCTGGTCCGAGTTGACGCCGAAGACGAGAGTGATGGCCGTCTTGTCCTGCGGGTTGCGCAGGATACCCTGCGCGAGCTGGTAGATGGGCGTGATGCCTGCGCCGCCGGCGATGAGCGTGACGTGCGGGTAGCTGTTGGGCTTCCACTGGTGGCCCTTGAGCGCGGCCGCGAAGAGCAGCTTCTGGCCCGGCGCGAGGGAGTGCAGGTGCGTGCTCTGCTTGCCGTCGGGGTACTTCTTCACCATGAGCTCGAGGTAACCGGCGTCGTCTGCGAAGTGAGGCGGTGTGTGAGCAATGAACAGCCTAGTTTGGTCGGATGATGAGGCGGTTAGTCTTACCTAGTGGTTGGACGGGCGTGTATGGTCTCGCGACGGGGAACCATCTTCCTTCTGGCCATGACATTGTCAAGACGGCAGCTGTGATCTTCTTAGTCGCAAAGACTCATTCATCCTTGATGCGATTGACACTCACATGTTAATGATAGCCCGCTTACAGCATCCCTCTGCGGCAGCTTGAACCGCAGCTTCTTCGTGTTGTGGTTCACCTGCTCAGAGCTCTCCAACGGCAGCGACACAAAAGCCGGACCAGCTCCAAACACCTTTGGCGGCGCCCCTGATTCCGCCGCTGCGTTCCCGATCATCATCTTGGAGAAGATGCCCAGACCAATGCCCCCTGCCGCGACGGTGGCCGCGATTGTTGCGGGGCGGAACCGCCGTACCGTTACTGATGCCATGACTTGCTTGCTGTATGAATCCAAGAATCTAATGCCGCTGCGAGATTTGTGTGTCGTTCGTTGCCTGTACACACGATGTCTGATAAATGTTTCTAACAAGAGGAACCTTTTTGAAGACGACTGTCAATTATTTAAACCGACGTCACTGCTCAGCCTGCTGAGCTGAGTCGGGCACGCCCGGGACCGAGACAGTGTGGATTCTGAGGTGATTGTGGGGCCCTGTAAGCCGGGCAGCTCGGTCATCCCCAAAATGTCCGGACCCGATCGGTGCTTGTAGGCTCCGATTGGCGACGTTTCTGCGGGTTAATAAGGGGCTGAAAGTCCAGGTTATTCATATTGATCGCTGCAAAAGGCCGAAAGCGAGGACAATTATATTAAACGGACGTTTTCGCTGTCCATATGGGGCGTATATCATCCAGCACCTGCACCGCGTTCCAACCTGCATCCTGCATCTGCATGCATCAATTGACAACGGCATACTGTGCTCAATTTTGCACTGTCAACGCGGAAGACCGGATGGACTCTTTGGACTCTTGGAACGAAACAGCGGGAAAAGTGATGTGTGTGCTGTTGTCCCATCCCGCCGGGGAGCGTGCCGGCGGACCGCCCGCTAATCCCGCGAGGTATTCGTCTACGGCACAGCAAAGGCACCTCTGCTGTCAAGGGTGTTAGGCCACATACAATCTTACGAGCGCAGTTTTTCCTTACTGAGATGAGCAAGGGAGAAAGCTGCTGCCTGGCATATTCCTCCTGTAGCCTGAGGCAATGATGGGCGTTGTTCCCGGCAGCATTCCATCGGCACGCGCCTCCGCCGCATATGATTCGCCAAGACATTGCCGGGCAGATGTTTGAGTTTGTTGGGGGGGTGGTGGAGCGGCGCAACCAACATCACCGGACCTCTGTAGCATTCAGACGACAACTCACTCTCGTTGACCAACCAGATCCACGGTTTTAGTCACCTTTCCCCCATCGACGTTGGACAGCCAGCACGTCGGTGTTCGGTGCATCTATCGCCATGCAGGAATACGCTGTAAGATCGCGCCAGCCACCCGCGGCTTCAAGCCTCCAGGCATAGGACAGCTGAGCCAACATCGTGCTAGATGACGGAGTATAGCCAGAATGCTCAGCCGCATTTTAATCTATTGAGGATATTGGGCGGCTGGGGCAATGTCAAGTTTGTCAACCCCCGCTTCGGGCCGCACCTAGTCCACGCTTCTCTTACTTTACTGTTTCTGTGATCTCTAACTGTTGATAGTGGCCCAGGTCTCTTGTAAGGACCCCCATCTCAATAATCACCATTCATCATTGACCATTGGCAACAGCATGCTACGTAGCATGCTAGCAGGCACAGCCACCGCCGCCTTCGTCGGCCTCGCCGCGTCCTTCGTCGGCGCCAGCATCTGGGGCACCGCCGGGCTGCCTTTTATCATCGGTTCATCACTCGGCTTCGTCCTCGGCAGCACAAGATGGTACGTCGCCGCTTCGCAGGAAGCGCTGCTCCAGCTGGACAAGTACCCGTCGATCCTGCGCCTTCATCTCGTATCCAACTTCCCCTGGAAACCGGAGCTCGGCAGGCTGGGGGTCGAGTGGTACACCGCCCGCCGCTTCGGTTCTAACTGGCAGATGAAGAGCATGCTCATCGCCGCGTGGCTGACTGCCCAGCCAGCGCTGGACGAGATTCGCAGTCGGAGGGAGACGGAGCTTGTGGAGGCGTACTCAAGACAGCGAATTCTTGAGAGGGTTAGCTCGAGTGAGCGGGAAGATCAAGACGATGGAGGGGAATCATAGTCAGCTCGATGATAGCCCGATTGCATGGCACAATCGAATTGATCAACTATCAACTAACATCGGGATAATGATCTCGGCCTTCACGCAAGATATCACCGAGCCGGAGCTCAGCTCACAGCTTGAAACAGCTTGCCAGCTTCCCAAGGCACAGCTCCAGCTCAAACAGCTTCAGATAGCTCCGCCCCAAAGCTTGTTGCCTGCGATCGGTTCCCCCAAAGCCCTTCCGCCCGTTCAGTCAGCGGGTCCAAACCTGTGAGCTGAGCTCTAGTATCGCTGAACTTTCTTCGCGCATGGCATTTCGGTACCCCAACTTCGGAAAGAGGTGGGGGGTTTGGCAACTTGTGACGATAAACCTTGACCGGGTTGGTTGAAATGTTTACCATTCAAGCTTTCGCACCACCCCCTCCACGGAGGAATAGGGGGGTTCGCAGCCATGCTTCTTGGCATGCTCAAAGTCCTTTCACTTGAAGTCTTTCGATCTACTGCAGGTACTGTCTTTCAAAGCAGCTTGAAGGAAGTAAGTATGCTCTAGAGAGCACAGCTAGTAGGTGTCGTCTTCCAGAAGCGCGCATGGAAAGGCTCATGGCGGTCGTCGAATGTATTGACATGCCGCACAGATCAGTTTGTATTTGACATCCTGGTCATGCTTGCAATGCTGCTAGCAGTCTGTCCCCCGGATCCCCATCTCTGCCAGACGTCATGCAACGCTCGTGCCAGCCTCCCGTTTTCGTATGGCCACTGCAAGACCTATCTGAGCCCTAGTCGCCCGTCCATCACCAAGCAGCGACCCTGCTGTATCTGCAGTCGATGATGCGCAAGATAATGATCTGGAATGACATCTGTCTCTGATTTCACGGAGCTCCGTGAACATTATCAGCTACATGGATTACCTAGGTCGCGCAGTCAGTCCCTTCCACCCATTGAAAATGCTCGCACGGCTTGCGTGTGAATGCTCGGATGGGGGTGGGGTCGCAGCACAGACGGTATGGACATGGCGGCATGAATACCAGGGCACAACCAATGCCAACCTGCGTATTTCCAATATACCAAGCTTTCTTCCAGAACAGGCTTCCCGCTCGGGATCAACCGTGTCATCCTCGCAGGGTAAACACGTCCTCTTCGTAGGGCTTCGCGTTTAGAAACTCCACTGAAGCTGCGCCAGTCTGTGTGTTTCCTGAGGGGTTGGCTCCTTAAAGGCATAACGCAAGAGGGTGTTGTGAACGTCATTTCCTGTACGTATCCGGTCTTCATCACCCGTGTCTCGTTCTCCAAAACCCAAACAGACTTTCGGTTCAGGCTACCCCCGGCCCTTCTCCAATCTGACAAGCGGACGTGCGCCCCTCCATCATCTCAACTGCCATCCGGACGTCCAGAACGGACCAGCCAAAAGGGCATGTGTTGCGGTCAGCTTGAACATGGGTCGACCATGCGTGAAACCAGGCAAGTTAAGTTCTTGTTCGCTTTCCAGAAGGAGAAGCATTTCGCCATACGCATTGTCAACATTGCGTTGATGATCTGACGCCGAAGATATGGGATCATGTCGGACTCTCGAGCACCATTCATACTTATAAAGAACTTGAAGACCCTTACGGATCGCTCTTCGTGTCTGCTGACTTGTTTTCAAGAAACAAATTACTGACGCAACAACGCTTGACTAAACCACCCTGAACCAATACCATCGTCGCTCATCATGTCTGGTCCACCAAGTCTCGGCCCCACGCGTATCATTCTCGACGTCACAGGTGATGTTCCGGATTGGAAAGAGGAGTACAAGAAGTTCCTGCTGTCGGTGAAGGATTCCGATGGCTACTTCCGCTACCGCTGGGGACCCTGGAAGGAAGATCCAAGCAAGCTGGAGATTCTTGCAAGTTCGTGAATTTGGTCATCCAGATGTGGTTTCCGCCGACTTACTGATTTCACAGCCTGGGCTCCTCTCGAGAACCGCGCCGCTTTCGGCAAGTCTGAACACCACCAGAAGGCCATCGAGGCGCTGAAGCCCGTCATCGCCGGGCCCATGCCCACGAAGTGTCCTCGCTTCGACCTGGACGTACGCACATTCGTGCCCCCGCCCCCGCAGCTGATCAACAGTCCCATCTGCGAGGTCATCACCATCCGCAACTGCACCGGCAACCGTGAGGCGATGGCGGAGACGCTCAAGAAGGCGGAGACACTGCCTGGGTGCCATGCTGCTCACTCGGGTATTGGTGCGACAGACACTCCCGATCACGGAACCGTGTGGATTGGATTCGTTGGTTGGAGAGACTATGAGTCGAGCAAGGAGGCGGATAAGTCCATCTACACTCCTGATGGCGTTGGAAATATCGAGAGGCACCACATCAACTTCAACTTCCCCATCAAGGGATTTTCTGTTACGAACCCCGGTAGATAAAGTAGCATCGGTAGCGGATGTTGGGTTGAGGATGAGGTGTAGCTGATTCTATTCAATGGCATTCGCATTTCCAACGAAGATGATTTCATGACATATGAGGCTGCCCCAAAACTGCATGATTAATCCATTCCTGCACGAGTAAGTGAAGAGGAAGGGACATATCGGTATTCGAAAATTTCTGCCCAGTGGCACCGCGAAAAGGAGTTGCAAGCAAGCGTGAAGCAAAACTTATCCAGATGTGATGTCAGAAATCGATTGCCAACTTCGAATCTCCCCGTGACGCAAGGACTGACTCGAGAAGAGATTTGCGGCTACATAGTCAAGTATAGTAATCGCTTTGCCATCTGTCATCACATTTGGCAGGATCATCACAAGATAATCCTAGGCTGATACTTGAACGGCTTCAAAAACCGATAGTAGACCCAAGAAGGCGGCGCCACATTTCACTGACCATTCAAAATCTGTTGAAGTCCCATTCTTGGTAACGCGGCGTTACGTAGCAAGGGCTTACCCCGTAGTGAAACCAAATAGGCCGAATACGGCAGTTGAACAGGTGAGATGAACAATGCTTCCAACGTCTCTTGTGCTTTTACTATCGATGGCATGAGAGTCTAATGAAGAATGAACTTGACACCATATCCCATGTGTGCCGCTAATACCAATGTCCAGCATCGAGTCAACAGCAGGCTTAGGACTCCTCGGGCTCAGCGTCAACAGTCCAGTTGTAACCACCATCGGCGTCCGGCTTGACGTCCCACAGGCAGTATCGTGGTGTCCTCATGCTGTAGAAGTGAAAGAATTAGCGATAACTGTCTCTGAGCGAGCTTTAATGTCCAAACTTACCTCCAAAGCCAGTTGGCCATACACATGTTCTTGCAGTTCCTGGCAAGTAGGGAGACGTGATACTTGTGCGGCGTGTCAGCGAACCGCCTGAGGGCAGCTTCAGATGCCTCGTTAACCGCCGCGACCTCGCGTTCCAGTCTAGCGACAGCCCCATCAATGCCCTTCTGGGCATTGCCATGTGACAGTAGCACGACAAGATTCTCCACAAAGCCTTCCTTGATTTCCTTGCGCAAGCTCACGATGTCATTGACAACCCAGACAACAGCGACAGCCGCTCGGTAAAGCTCGCGCATCTCCTCGGACTCCATGACCTCTTCGGGTAGGCTGATACCGTTAGCAAATTCGAGGTTCACCGCAACCTGCATGATGCAGGAAGACGCTTCGCGGTAGCCGAGATATTCTTCAAGAGTGGGGATGCGGCCCGCGTAGCGGTTGAGAGCCTCCTGTCGGTAACCGTCCAGAGTCGCGATCGCCTCCTTGGCAATGCGCGCACGGTACGGACGGTTGTCACTGTAGGACTTGCAGACGGCTTGTGCGTATTCGTCAAATGAGACAACAGCGTCGTGGTCCTTGTATTGCAAAGGGGCGGTTTCCGTGGTGTTGGCAACATTGAGGCTACGCTCAACAAAGTCGCGGCAGTCCGCCAACATGACGTGCAGGGACGCGAAGTCAAATTTGTGCACGAGCGAGTACTGGTCGAGCATGTCGTCGATGATGAACATCCACGCCTGGAAAGAGGTGAGAGCCTCGATGCGGTCGCATGAGGCGTACGGGTACCAGCCGGCCAACTGAGATGAGAGCATGGCCTTGGTTAGGCGCATGCGAACAGTGTCGTTGACAGCATGTCTAAATTAAGCGTGTTAGTTGGGTTCGTCTTGTTTCTCATGATGAAATTGAGTGCTTACGTCTCAATAATCTGAAGAATCTTTGAGTTGACGGCTTCTAAGTGCATGCTCTGGTCCTTGGGCCAGTCTGCCATCATTTTCCCGAGATCTGGGATACGGACATTCTGCCCATGAAGTTGCCATAAGATCTGCTCGCGAGTCCGACCTTGGCTCTTCTGCGCTGGAGACTTCCTCCCAGAGTTACTCCTCTCAGAGTGTCGAGACAGAGCAGGGTGGAGAGAAACCGGTGCGGGTGCGACTGAAGATGACATGATGATGTAGTGAACGGTTGTAAAGATGAGACTGAAGTGATGATGAGTTGCTGTAGGTGTTGAAGGATAACAGCTGTCAAATAAGTATACTGCGTGCAGCAAACTTTCTCAAAGAGCATGTGGGAGCAAGTCACTCTATATACGGCGGGTATTCTTGGCCTCGCCTTACACAGTAACTCTGTACGAGCGAATCGCGACAACGCGAGGACGGACTTACACGCTTCCATTCGCCTATATTTGCCTTTGACGGTTTGCACAAGTTCGTCTCCTGCGGCGAATATATCCAATCCTGAACTGACTAGTGTGCGCCGACCAATACGAAAAACGCTTCACCTGCCTCATTCAGGGACGGCCTTGGGTCTAGGACCGCTAAACCGGCGGCTTGCCGTCGGGAAACCTAGAACACATCTGTCACTCAATCCCGAATGCTTGGACGGGCTGCCTCGGGGAAGGGTACATGTGAAGCACGATGGAACTCTACGAGCTAAAATCAGAACATCTTCAATGTGACATGTAAGCGGAGTCCGAAGGGCGGCGCGTGAGGCTTCAATTGATCGTGCGGCATGGCAGTGGGGCCGTGGCGGGCTGGAGGGCAGGCGTGGAGGTTGCGGATCCAGTCCATCGGCCAGACTGAACTGAAGACAATCTTTCCCACCTGCCCCAGGTTTACATGTTGTTAAAGCACACCATCTCTATGGACACCACTTCAATGGCGCCACCACTTGGATACTCACCATCTTCACGATATTAAGATTGAAGTTTTGAAGCCTATTTGGGTGACCAAGTCGTTCAATGTGAGTGCCAAGGCGTAGGTCTGACGTATCTAGCCGATGCCAACCCTCCTTTAGCTCGTTTCAAGCACCACTAAAGTTAGTAAGATGAGGGCAAAGGTAACTGCGACGTTGGGCAAAGTTGCCAGTCAAGCGGCGTTAAGGACCAGCTCCATGCGAAGGCTATTTGGAAATGAACGAGGCCAGCGGATTTTCGTTTGACGACACACGCCTTGCAATATCGCCGGCCGCATTTGATTAGCTCCCTCGCGAAAGACCCATATCAGACGCGACTTGATTTGAGACTGCTCGAAGGTATATGACTGACGATATCAGTTGTTATTGGCCTAACCACCTTATCTTGTGCGGGCAAGTTCATCCGCGGCCTTCCGTGGGCAGCCGACGGGAGACCAGCTCATAGGGATGGGTGTCCAAGGTGATCGGTTTTCCAAACACTAGACGGCTGCGCGGTTACTGCCGTGCGGTTGGCGAAGCCAATCAAAATAGTAGCAGCGGGCTAATGCCGGATGGTTCGCTCTATGGTCAAAACGCCCTCGGAAACTTCGGATGTCTTTGTATTGTATGTATGGCGGCTCAGGGGCCAAAGCTACAAGGTTTAAGTTGAAAGGTTCCCCATCCTCGCTCTTGCAGTTTCAATGAGAAGTAAATTTCCCAGGCGCGGACACTGCGCAGGAGGGTGTAGACTTTGATGTACACCATCCCCCTTACGCGAGCTGAAGAAGCGAATTGAAATGAAAAGAGACGAGATAAACGGTAACACAAATTATAGCCTTCAAGTATTCCAAGAACATGCCAAGAACATGAGGGGTGCACTAGATGACTTGAAAGTTGGGGGAACTCCGATACATTGACGCATTAGTACATGCCAACTTAGACTCTCGCACCTTGCAACACAACACCCTAACGACTAGCCCGATGACTTGCATATGGCAACCACACAACTCCAACTACGGTATCACTGCTATTATTTGTTGATGTCCGTAGAATAGACAGTGTGCGGAAACTCCACCCGCCCCGATTGGCATTTCGGAACGGAGTCTGGTGCATTTTGCTTCGGAGGAAGTAACGACAGCAAGACATGCCTAGCCTGGCAAAAGTTGATATTGACATGTCGTTTGTCCGAAGAAGCCGTTCATTCGACTAAGTGACCATATATATACACATGGCTTGAGAGCACTATAGGAGTAGGTGCTGTCACATCAAACCTACTGCTTATTCTAATAGCTACTGTTGTCAACGTCATTTCCTTGTATTCCTTCTTCACACAACCGCAAGATTCATTGAGACCGCAATCATGACAACCGCTCAAGTGCCTCCTAACCTTACCCAAGGTCACTTCTGGATGGGCTCCAAGAAGGGCGCTGCCAATGGCGGTGCCAACGGGTCTAGCCAAGATGTGGACACGCCAAAGTTCCTCCCCCCGAACATGACGCAGGCGTCATTTGACAAGTTCGCTAAGAAGGTCATTGATGTGGTCGGCGAGGACAATTTTCAAGTAATCACACCAGAGATGGATCTGGACGGCTACGAAGATGACGACTTTGGCCGCAACTGCCGGACACATGACTACTACCGCTCATTTGATGATGAGCAGGAGCTGGTTGGATCTGCACTTTGCCATCCTCGAACGGTCCAAGATATTCAAGCAATCCTCGCAGCAGCCAACGAGCACAAGATGCCACTGTGGCCCATTAGCACTGGCAGGAACCTTGCTTACGGAGGATCTGCACCCAGAGTACGTTATCATGGTCAATTTGGTTTGGTATATTGGTTTGCCGCGTTCTTGGCCCCATCGGAGTTATGTGGCATGCCTTCATGAATCTCAAGTTAATCTCATCTCATAGGTCCCTGGCTCACTTGTCATGGTTTTGAGCACGCACATGAACCGCATCCTTCACGTCGATACCACCGCATGCGTGTGCATCGTCGAGCCCGGTGTGACTTTCATGCAGATGAGTGATTATCTCAAGGAGCACAACCTCATCGACAGGATCCGTGTCGACTCATCTGGACTCGGATGGGGCTCCATGATTGGTAATGCCCTAGATCGCGGCGGAGGAGCTTCTTTGTACGGTGATCGCTGGGGAAAGCACAGCGGTATGGAAGTCGTTTTGCCTAATGGCGAAGTCGTCAGAATGGGCATGGGTGCTGTTCAGAGTCCAGAGGGTCGCAAGCAGGCCGCCGAAGGTGTTCACCCCGCCGACCAGGCGCTCAATGAGTGCTTCGCACTATTCCCGTACGGCTGGGGTCCGATGAACGATGGTATCTTCTCGCAGGGTAACAGTGGCATTGTTACGAAGATGGGCTTCTGGGTAAGCATCCCGGGCCCGCGAACTCGTGAGCTCTCAATGGTGCTAACACCACACAGTTGATGCCGGCGCCCCAAGGCATGACCCCCTTCTCCATAACCTTCGAGAAGGAATCAGATCTCAAGGCACTGGTTGATTGTATTCAGCCCCTCGACTTGGTAAGGTTGTCTTGCGTTTGCGAGAATTGATCTCATCTAACAACGTATCAGAACGGCACCTTACAAAGCTCGGTCAGTCTGCGCAATCTTACTCTTGAAGCTGCACACTACGGCCCCCGTTCCAGCTACACCAATGCTTCTCACAAGGAGGTCATCCCGGAGGAGGACTTTGAGAAGATGGCTAAGAAGCTCAACACTGGTCGCTGGCGCTACATCGGTGCGGTCTTTGGCTCTGACAAGGTCCGCGAGGCACTCATTGAGGACATCAAGCGTGAGATGACCAAGGTTCCTGGTAGCAAGTGGGCTACCCTTGATGAGAACCCCGATGAGCAGAACCTTGTCCGTGTGCGTGCCACATATCTGCAGGGCATCTCATCGATGGGTGAGTTTGCCTGGATGAAGCAGTGGCTACCAAACTGCTCCGTCATCATGGTGGCCGCTATCTCCAGATTGGAAGGCAGCGCCGTCTGGGACCAATACTCGCGGGCCAAGGAGTTGTTCGCCAAGGCTGGTATCGACTACATCAGCCATTACGTGGCTTACTTCCGTACTATGCGTAAGTCTGTCTTGAAAAAGATTTTCTGCAATGACTGCTGACACGAATTCAGATAACGTCTGCATCATTCCCTACGATCGCAAGGACAAGGATATGCGAGGTCGCGCCCAGTGGCTGGCTCGTACTTTGTTGAAGGAGTGGAAGGATAATGGCTGGAGCGTGTTCCGAACTCACGTCGGACTCATGGACCAAGTTGCCGATACATACGACTTCAACAAAGGTGCGCTGTGGAAGATGCACGAGGAGATCCACGATAACCTCGACCCCAACGGCATCCTAGCCCCTGGAAGAGGTGGTGTCTGGCCCAAGTCCTACAACAAGGACGAGTGGATGATGGGCAAGAAGTACATCGGTTAGAAGAAGGTTTCAGCATCTGATTTAGGCGTAAAGCAGTTGCATTGACAAGACTGCCGTATGAGTTCTTCAATTGATGTGTGTTTCTGTCATTGAAATTGTTTGGTCTACTTTGACATTTGGAATGCTCAACGCTTGCAGCTGCTACCAAAGTCTGGTTGTATTTGTGGTAAAGAGCTATACGCGAGACGTGATCCAGGTGACTATTCCATCCGCCGATTCATCGTGGCATGGAAAGAATAGTTTGACAAAGACGAGAGTCAGCCACTCAGACTGTACGGTATCTAGACTACATACATCCCTGCCGACATCGAGTGCACATGAGTTTAGTTCAACGTCTTGCACGTTCAAAGAATGCCCTGATACCGGTAACGGTAACCCAGCCGATGACGACGACAGTTACGGCCAGCCGGATCTCCCTCGCGAGCCCGGCAGTGTTCGGGGAGAATTGAATGAGGTGGAGATGCTTGATAGCGCCGGAATGCGCCGACTGGAGTGCAAATTGCTCCATCTACACATTGTCAATTATTCTGATCAAGTCCATGAAGTTTCAGCAGGCCACATACCTTCGTGTTGGATGAGGTTGTTGACGAGAGAGCTGAATATGCTGGAGGTTGGAAGGGTGAGGGAGAATTCTTTGGTGGAGATGATGGATTACGTCAACGAATCATAGCGTGCCGCTTGCGGGAAAGTCCAACACAACATATTGACCGGAATTGAGCTCCACATCATCCAATGCTAGAGACGACAAGAACTTGGAAAGGACAACGAAACGATAAAACAAATTGGTTTCAAGTGGTGAGAGTAATTGCTTATAAAAAGGTTGGATCGTAATATTCTATTTGAAGATGTAAATACATGGAAGCCGATCAACCATCACAAGTTACCTTCCATTATGCGAAGTGGATCGATGTGCAAGACGGAGACCGGCGGAGAAATCTCATTGTCTACTGGGAATTGCGAAGTCGTTCCAGGACGAACAAACAAATATGACTCTGAGTCTGATCTCTTCGTATCATTTGCGACTGGATGATTTTCAAGTGTCATGCCAAAAGATCGTCACATAGCCTGTTGATGAAGACCGATTAACGGGAGTACTGATTGACGCAAGTGTGGATTTTGAATGTAAGAATTGCTACTTCGTCTGCGGTGATTACGGCGGCTTGAGCTTCTCATTACAACATGCATGCCCAGCACGCAATGCATCATGCAAGAGCGCAGGAAGCCAAAGTTGGAAGGTGATTTCGTCTGTGCTCTGATTATCTTGGCAATATTTTAACCGCCTGGCGATGCAACCTCGCAGGCCTGACTATGTCGTAGTAGTGCTGACGGGTGAGGATCCTACTGCTACGATAGTCAAATAGTCGAAGCCATTTCTTCACTTATGGATTAAACCGATTCGGATTACAAGTCCTTCACCTCAGGGATGGCCTCCTGTCCTGTGGTGCGAGGTTTGGATCAATCCCGCTTGCCACGTCAGACACAGCTTTGCGGCATGCAACTCACCCCGGTCTCCCAAGACCAGAACCCGTATTTCTGGTGTGATCACACCCTAAACAAGGAAGGTTGACCACATTGGTGACAGTGCAACCCTTCTTGCGCAATCTAGGCTACTGCATCCCAATGTAGCGACTTATGAAGGTATTGATAGCGAGCTCTTGGGCATGACTGTGGTACATAAATATCATGATCTGCTGCTTGCTAGGATTTGACAAGTTTTTACTTGAGCCACTACTCCTTTCTCCAGAATTCTTCGCAAATTGTAACCTCGAAATGGTGCTTGCGCGCCAACTATGCACTTGTCTGCTTGTCGGGCTCGTGGCCGGCCAACAGTCCCAAGATAACGCCGATCCGATCGCCGTCCGATTCGCCAAGAGCTACATTGTGGAATTCGCGGATGTATGTCTATTCAGCACCCAATAAATCCAGAAAAACTCTTGACATTATGAAAGGGCAAATCAAGTCGACTGAGCTCACTTTCTTCAACGGGAGGAGTTAAAATAGTGAAGCAATATGACAGCGAGATCTTCACGGGAGCAAGTGTGGAAACCGCAGATCTCACTCTTGAAAGTCTTTTGGAACTTCCTGAAATTGTCAACGCCTGGCCAAATAATATCGTGAGCTTAGAACCACTGATACAGGAAGAAAATACCCTGCAAGCGGTGCCTGCGGTCGCCCATGTCGTCACTGGAGTCGACAAGGTGCATGAGAAGGGAATCTATGGCAACGGAGTAAAGATTGGAGTCGTGGACACAGGAATTTGGTACAATCACAATGCTGTAAGTTTGACGATGTTCTGGAGCTTCCTTACAGTATACTAATGGATCTTGTGGTAGCTCGGCGGTGGCTTTGGGGAGGGCTTCAAGGTTGCTGGAGGGTACGACTTCGTTGGTGATCAGTGTATGGGCCCCTCGCAATTGTTTAAATGAGGCCATAAAGTTAAAAAGATTGCACAGATTGGCCATTTGTTGGCTATGAGAAAGAGCCCGACGAAGATCCATTGGACCTGCTCGGACACGGCACTCATGTGGCCGGTATCATTGCTGGCAAGACAGAAGAGTGAGTAGTGTTCAATCAGGAGATTGAAATTCGCCGAATATGTCTAATACCACGATCAGCTTCGTTGGAGTAGCTCCCGACGCCACTCTTTACGCCTACAAGGTCATGTCTCGTCAGGTGAGTTATACCCTGGGTCTGTTTCAGCGCACTTGACTGAGCAGTATGCAGGGCTCTACCGATGCGGCCACTCTCATCGAATCGTTTCTAGCAGCATTCAACGATGGGGTAGGTTACAACTCGCCAGAATACGACTCTCGCACTTGAAGCTAATTCTTTGGAAGGTTGATATCATCACCTCAAGCATAGGAGGCTCAAGCGGCTGGGCTGAAGAGGCCTGGGCCGTAGTTGCATCTCGCCTGGTCGAACAAGGCATCGTCGTGACCATCTCAGCTGCAAACTCCGGGTCCATAGGGCCGTTCTACGGCAGCAGTGGCTCGTCGGGCAAGAATGTCCTCGCAATTGCGTCGGCTGATGCTCCGGCTGTCAACACTACTCGCGCGTCCTCTTTCACCTCTTGGGGCTTGCTGAATGATCTTAGCGTTAAGCCCGACATCACAGCTCCCGGTGGCTCGATCTACAGCACTTACCTTGACAACGGATGGACTGTCATGTCGGGGACTAGCATGAGCTGTCCATACGTTGCAGGCGTCGCTGCACTCTACATAAGTGCTTTCGGAGGCCGGGAAGTGCATGGGAAAGATTTTGCATTGAATCTGGGCAAACAAATCATTGCCAGCGGAAATGTGCTCGCTTACCACGACGGGGCATACACCGACCTCCCGGCACCGGTGCCTCAGGTAGGCAATGGTCTCGTTGATGCTTTCAAGCTACTTCACTCCAATACGACACTGGATTTCGATCCCATCGCTTTGAACGACACAGTCAATTTCAGAGGGGACCATACGATTACTGTCAGTAACCGGGGCTCTGATGATGTCACGTATCATACATCTCTTCAGGATGCCTATGGGGTTGAAACATTGCTGCTGGATACCGCCAATGGCGACAAGACAGTGCGACGCTTGTCAGATTTGGCGCCCCGAAAGCTCGAAGTTGACGTCAGCTTACCCGAGGATTTCACGCTCAAGCCAGGAGAAGAGAAAGCCATACCGTAAGTGAATCTAAATTCCCGAATCAACATGGGGCTTGCGTTAACGAAACATTGAAAGATTGAACTTCAAGAACCCCGAGTCTCATGAATGGGATTCGTCTGTCTTACCCCTTTACAGTGGAAAGATCTTGATCTCGGGAGACAACGGTGACGAGCTCTCCGTACCCTACGCAGGTCAGGCTTCGTGGTGATAGACTATGCAAGCATACTCACTGAACTCTCATCTCAGGTGTTGGAGCCGACCTCAAGAAAGAATTAAATCCTTTATTTCGGAACGGATTCCCATATGTTGTCTCCGGAGAACCGGCTCAGATTGTGAAAAAAGCGTAAGGCTGCCCGTAACTAGATGAAGCCTGATAAGAGCTGATACCTCTTTAGCTTCACTTTCAACCTAACACTCGGAGTTCAAGACTTCCCGAAGATTTTCCATAACATTATTTGGGGAACCCGTCAGCTTAGATGGGATGTAAGTTTAGAAGTATCGGTATGGTCTCTGTGTAGATGCTCACACAGACGCTAGATATTCGAGGACGGATGGACCGAAAGTGATTGGACATTTCCTCTAGTCGCTGGCGAGAATGGGTACATAGGATCGGGCGCATATTGGGCAGGCTCCGGCCAAGCGCCATTCTTTGACCCGAGCCGATGGGACCCCGACGACACACTATCGTATCCAAAGGTTGAACAGCCCCGGGGCAGCGGCAACTCCGAAAATTGGTGGTTTGGAAAGCTTGCGAATGGCAGTCAGATTGCATTGGGTAATTACACGTGAGTCACATTTGTCACCACCTTGTTCTTTTGCAGAAGAGACTCACACACGACTTTGGCAGACTTCGGTATGCCGCTCTCAAGCCTTTTGGTGATCCCGGCCAGTCTGAGGATTGGGCTACTTTCACGACACCTTTGGGGGTCCTTGGACAGTATTGAAATAGATGGGTATATGTGACAGGCACACGCGTAGTTGATGAAGGGATGGTTGCCAGTATATAATACCGCAGTGTTATATGGTGTCCTACATATGTCCCAAACTGACCAGCGACGTTTACCCCTAAGTGAGAATAATTCGGCGACAGATGCCGTTTTAATGCTGCCCGAATTGTTCTTCCTTTCGCATTTGCAACAACGAAATGGGGTCGATCACAGCAGGAAATTCTAGGAGCTCAACTGCATGTGAATGTGATTCAACCTGAACTAGTATCTCAGGCTCCTGAATGATCTGGAGATTGTATCGCGTGTACTTTTGAGCAACCTTTTGCCAATCGTGTATGATGCTGGGTTCCACATGCAGATTCCAGGTTCCTTTCCAACTAACAGAGGTTGAATCGGATTCCGCACAGTAAATGAATTTGCATGCTTCACTCTGAACGCTGTTCCACAGCGTCATAGTATGGAGACAAGGAATTGATAGCGTAGCTGCAGCAGAACTCTTCAAAGTGCTTGCTATTACATCGGGGTGACTAGTTTGTGTGAGCTTTCTTGTTGTAAGACAAAGGAGACTCAAATGTTCCCAAACCCACTCTTGCTGACATGACTTAAAGAAGTCGTTCGAGTCAATCAAGAATGCAACTGAGAGCTTCTCGAAGTCGAGGCTCCTCTTCGCAAAGATACAACCAAGAATTGGCAACTCGGATCGCCAAACGCCAGACGTGAGAGGTTTCAACCAACGGTGCGCCTTCAAGATGCATTTGTCTGTGTTCTCGAAGATTGCGACGCGCTTGGGTGATCGTGGCAAATGATACTTGATGGTATCGAGATCTGAGGAGTCAAGAATTAGTACTTATCCACTAGAAATTAATAATAGCTGTCCAAACTTACAGCTGTCATAGAAGCCTTCTAACATCACTAACGATCTCTGCCAGGGTTCATAGACCACTGATTGTAACCGCGGAAGCCTATTGAATAGATATCCTAGAGCTTTGGGATCAATCTGTCTTCGGCACTGTCGACGGAATATGAACTTGGTAACTGCCTTTACCAGAGGGACGTCGTCCTGGGAAGAGAAAGACAACGGTCGCAGTCCAAAGATCCTTTGACACTCTCCAAAGGTAGATGCATCAATCTGGCGACCATTCACCCAGCCGTGGTTGGCGTCATCCTATGGATTGTGAGCATTGACAGTGAGCCAATCCTGAACAGAGCTGCTCGAATGAAGCTCCTCATTTTCACCGTGACCCCCAAAGTAAAGGTTCTTGAAGCGATGCTGCCTGTCGCTCGGAGACTGGATGCTCAATTCCAGTAACAACTCGGCTCCTTCAACAAGCGGCCACTAAGCAAGTATAGAAAACAATCTCCCGATTGTGTTTCTAACAAAGTTTCGGTTGTATTCCATTTCTGTGCTGGTTTCCATGCGGCCACAATCTCGACATGTATACTCCGGCAACTCAATATTAAGCCAAACCTGTCTGGTTAGCTTTGCTTGTCTGGGGCCGACGATGGTTTGCATTTCGTCCAAACACCGCACCCCCAGTTACAGTCGACGGAAGCTTTCCTTTTCCAGAATTTTCTGCCATTCCTTATTCAGTGAAACGCAGGCACCCCAGCCGGATGTTTGTTGCGTAAGAAACTCAAGAATTAACTGTCGGAGCTCCAGTGGAAGAGACGTCCAATGTGTTGGTTGTATGGCGCCTGTGCTTCCAGACACGAAGGCCGGATTGAGAGACGAAACCATCTCCACTGGCGCAAAAAGTTCTCGAGGATTTATCGGCACTTGAGGTTTCACACGATGGAAACACTGAGTGATCAGAGCAATTGAAAACAGGGACGAAGGTTTCAAATCTTCTAGGGGGACTATAAAAAGAAAATTTCTACTTTGCTAGGTCATCAGTGCCGAAAAGAGAACCTTGGCAGGTTTTGTTGCCACTCACGACCTGTGTGGTTGAGCTTCAACCTCTGTAGTTAGTACGATAGTTAGCTGCCTTTTCAATTGGAGGAGATGCCAATTTACGAGGTTTATGATGCTTCATTTTCTAGTCCTGCATTCAAGGGAGCTTCAGAGCTTGACAACCTGGTCTACTTTCGCGCTTGCATACACCGACTCCAAAATGCGCAAGACCTCTCTGGCCTGAAGTGCGGATACTGGAACCATGTCCTCATTCCCAGACCAGACTGCCTCCGCAAATCCTTGGTACAGAGCGCCATAGTTTTGGCTACGCACAGAGGGCCGACTGAGCTCTTCAATTGTGCCGTCCTTGCGGACGATAACCAGCCGCCCCTCACTGCCCGCCCTCTCAATACCAAAGTTTGAACTTGTTGGTAGCAGACCAGATTCTAGTTGAGCTTCTTGTGGATCCATGCCATCTTTCTTGTAAGATGCCTTGGTGCCACGGATCCAAAAGCGGCGTTGTGGTGACTCAACGCTCATGTCGCTGATTCGTATGTTGACAATCATGCCATCTGCATAATTCAGTTGCGCATGGACGCTATCAGGGTGCATAAGATCTAGGCATCCCCGTTTCTGGTTCAAAAGGCGTCCATAGACTGAGCTTGGTAAGCCAAACAGGGTGTAAGCCTGGTCGATCAGGTGTGAACCAAGATCAAACAGAGCACCGCCTCCCTCGGTCGTGCTCAGCTGTCCTCTCCAAGACTCTGCGGACTCTGGCCGATAGTAGTCGAAGTGGCTGTCGATCTCATGAATCCGACCAAAGGCACCATCTTGAACAAGCTTCTGGACGGTGAGGAAGTCGCTGTCAAATCGCCTGTTTTGGTACACGCAAATAAGCCGGCCAACTTCTGAAGCTAATCTCATGAGATTGTCTGCATCTTCGAGCCTTGAGATGAACGGCTTCTCAACCAAGATATGCTTCCGGGCTTTGAGGCACAGCTTAGCTAGGTCGTAATGTGTGTTCGGTGGAGTCGTGATAACGACCATATCGCATGATGAATCCTCGACAAGCTGTTCGGCAGAAATATAGTGTTTGACTTCGGGATGGTCAGTAGGAGCTGAGGATTGAGGAGTTGGGTGCCGTTGGACTATCGCCTGCAATTCAAGCGACGGCAAAGTTCGAATGAACGGGATGTGAAATACTTTGGCGGCGAATCTACCGCAAGTCAGCGTCCTTGCTCGCAGCTTGCTAAGGTCTTGTTTCCCATGGTGCAGGGCAGAAATACCCATATCCAACGACGCCGACGCGCAATGTCTTGTCAGCCAAAGATGAGAAATCCATCATGTTCCTTATGGTGCAAACACCGCAAATTTGGTCTCCTGTCAATAGGGATGGTTTTGACGGAAGGCAATTGTCTTGTCGTTTCTTCCAGCGTCTTACAGAATGGCCTGATGAACAACCTACGGCGATCTGTGGGACTTAGGCCTGAAGGCCATGATTATGAATGATGCGATCGGAAAATATTTCCTATCACGGCGAACACAAAACGAGCAAGTTGGCTTTTCATTACGGGATGTTTGGCTAACCGGTTGGCCTTGGTGAGACGCACCCCTGAGTGGGGACGGAGGCACTTCACAATGCTCATGCCTGGCAAGTTTGTTGACACGGCCACATTTCAATAACAGTAGTCGCCGATTGATATCCTATTCCGGGTTCTTTCTCATACTCGGTACGGCCAAAGAGTCTGCTCGGGCTTTGATTCTGGGCATACCGCATATTTCCGGTTGAAGTAGGAACAGCGGCATAGGGCGCCGGCTAAGGCGTACTCATATACGAAGGCTTAGGTGGGGGTAGGCGTGCTGGAGTGCCGATCTAGGGCCAGGAATGTTCCGATCTGGCTTGCGTTCTTCGCTCGAGTGCTACCTCTTGACCTGCATAGGAGGATCGTGTCATTAAGGGTTCATGCTCCTCAGCTTTCCGAGTACTAAACTGGATAGTGTCTCCGACAGCCAAGGTGAAGAAGCATTTACCATTCATGGGAATAGAAAGGAATACTTCTAATTTACCTGGCTAAGAACCATAACTTCCCTTCAATTTTCAATATAGTTATTGCAGTGCATACTGCCTAAAGGGATTTGGCGTTGTGACATCGTGAGGCTGGAGTTAATAGAAGACAGAAAGAATGAAGCTGCCTGCAACAATAAGTACCATGAGGAGAGAAGGCTAGGCACAAGTTCAACACGCCAGATAAAATCGGAAATTCAATAAGATTAGCTCTCTATCTGAGTGGACAACTTTGTCAAAACTCAAGAGATATTTTTAGCTAGTACACCCATGCTGCGTGAATGATTCTACTTGTGGCAAAATTGGGTGGTTGTATTTAAATATTGACTTAAGATCGACTGCAACTGAGCATGATCCATACGTTTGCCTAGTCTATCGAACAAGACCTTCTTCCCCGTCCTCATAGATTCTTGCAGAGCCACACCAATCTTCACAACTACTACAGCAGACTGAAGGTCGATCAGAGGCTGCCCACCATGAAGGATACTAGCCGTGAAGTTAATCGCTTGGACGACGAAAGCATCGTGAAACCGCTCCCAATAGTCTTGAGGCATCTCGTGGAAGATGCCCCCGTTTTGGTAGAGTTGCACCTTATTGATGCTCGGTTGTTGGTTCACCACGAGTTTGCCCTTGGTGCCGATAATCTCAGTGGAGTCTTCTGCACCACCCGACATTGTCCGAGATGCAAATAGTGACACCATCCCACCATCATGAAATTCCAAAGTGCCAATTGCGTTGTCTGCGTCCTTGAAATTCCGGAGTTGCGGGTAACATGCGACAGTTCCAATGGCGTGAACCGATTTGATCTTGGAATCTTTCCCAAAGAACCAAACCGCAAGGTCAATATCGTGGATGCTGGCGTCAGGAAATATTCCTCCAGAGACCTCAGCATACGACACAAACCCGCCGGTCGGATCAAAGACGTCGCAACTCTGGCACCTCATTATGATAGGTTTGCCTATGAGTCCTTGCTGTACCTTATGGTAGGCATCTCTGTATGAATCATCAGAGCGACGGGAAAACCCACACACGACCTTAAGGTCAGGTTGCTCTGCAGCAGTATCTACCACAGACTGACACTAATTCGAAAGTAAATATTGGCAAGGCCGTCTTGTTGTTGAGGAACTCTTACCTCTTCCACGTTTGTTGACAGCGGCTTCTCGCAGAGCACGTGCTTTCCAGCCATTATGGCCTGCTTAGACTGAGGCGCGTGTGCCGATGTCGCTGAGGCAATGCATACAGCATTCAAGCTTTTATGATCAAGCATGTCCTCATACTTTTCATATACTCCAACCCCATGTGGCGAAAGATTCAAATTCGCCCATTCCCTTTCGCCAGAATCTGGGCTGGACACCGCAACTAGTTGCGCTCGTGGCACTTGTTGCAAGAATATGAGAGCGTGCCGTTTTCCCATACGAACGAGGCCTGCAACGCCGACATGGAGCCGACGAGGTGTCATGGTTCATCCAACGCGGTGAGAGGAAGGGGTTGGAAGATGAAGCTAAAGTGTAGGTCTAGAGAAAGATACAATAGGTACAGATATCAACTAACACATTTATATTCTAAAGTTTTTGAGAAGCTCGGGTGTACATGCAGTTGAGTATATTTCCATGGATGTATCTGCAGACTGGGGTCCCGACATGTGGGGGGCAATGCCTTCCTCAAGTCGACACCGGATAAGCTGCAGCATCATCGTGCCAATCTAGGTGTTCCCAAAGGAATCCCGCGGGATTTATTACTCGCTTAACGCCATACTTGACGTCGTACAAGACCTGGATGAACAATGAAGTATCCTTTCCCGAAAGACCGTCGGCATTTTTAGCTGCATTCCGCTTTCCCCGCCTTCCGCAAGAGACCGACTACAGGATCGTCGTTGTGACCCCCACGTATACTCCGGCGAAAGGTTACCTCTTTCATCGAGCAATAATGTCAGCTGAGACAGCCCATGGATGACTGGCCCGGCGTCTCTGGGGTCTTCATGCACATTGGCAGCCAAGATGTTTTGCCGTTCGTTGTTCGGGATTTTCCCCGCGTTCTCCCCATCTTTTCCCCAGATCCAGACTTGCGAGTCAAGAAACTGCTGGCCGCTGATAGGCTAGTAATTTTACTGGCCGCACGTCAAGACAATCGACTTCAAGGAGTTATAAACCGAGGCGGTGATTGCTTTTAGGTACTTATATGCTTGAATCCCCATGAACACTTCCACGTCTCCTATTGAGCGACTCCAATAATAAAGTTGTTCTTAGCTGTCATTCCTCCATAACACTCATCTCCATTTCAGTCTTGTTTAAGGTGCTATTCAGGGAACAACACGATGCATCTTGCAGGCTCGTCACACAACTCTCCCACTAAGAAACCAGGGGAAGAATCCACCTTCGCCGCGGAGCATAAAGAAGATGTGGCTGAGATATTCGACGAGGTCATATCATATGGACCGCCTGGTAAGTATTATTGTGTCATCAATGGTCAACAGCTGGGGACTGACGACTTCCAAGGCTTCAAGGGCGTATTCGCATCTCGATTTGTCACTTACTGTGCTGCGTTTGCGGCCCTCGGAGGGTTCTTGTTTGGCTATGACCAAGGCGGCAAGTGATAGAAATCAGCAAAGTACTTTTCGCTTCTATTAACCGACCACTCATAGTTATCTCTGTGACACTTGTAATGAGAGAGTTCCTGGATCGCTTTCCCGAGGTGTCAGATGATGCAGCAGGTTCAGGTTTCAAGAAGGGCCTGATGACTGCTATGATTCCGCTTGCTGCTTTTATCGGAGCTCTCAATATGGGCTGGCTTGCCGACTGGATCTCTCGAAAACGATCCCTGATGGTTGCCGTAGTCATATTTATTGTAGGATCCTCGATTCAGACCGCAGCGATCAACTACGATATGCTCACTGCCGGGCGCTTCTTTGGCGGAGTCGGGATTGGAATGTAAGTTTCAAGAGATAGTGTTGCAAAGTTCTAAGCTAATTCTGTCACAAAAAGGCTTTCGATGGTTGTGCCTGTCTATATCTCCGAGATCTCACCTCCAGATATTCGCGGAACACTTCTGGTTTTCGAAGAACTGTCAATTGTCGTGGGAATTATTCTCGCCTTTTGGATCACGGTAAGTGGATTGTTGCACTTTCCGTTTCAGATAGCCAAGATTATTAACTGAGTTCTAGTACGCGACCAAAGACATTCCGAATCATTGGTCATGGCAGTGTCCCTTCCTCATTCAAATCATCCCTGGAGTTTTGTTGGGCATTGGTGCGATCTTTCTGCCATACTCGCCCCGGTGGCTTGCCTCCAAAGATCGACACGAGGAGTCACTGGCTACATTAGCCAGACTCAGAGGTCTCCCGCAAGAAGACCCCAGTGTCCGCCGGGAATGGATCGACATCGTTGCCGAAGCTCGTTTCCAAGCCATGGTATTGAAAGAGCGGCACCCAACGCTTACAGCAAGCCCGGCTATTTCAGATAAGATCAAACTGGAGATTGTGTCCTGGACAGACTGCTTCAAAACCGGATGTTGGCGCCGTACTCATGTCGGAGTTGGCATTCAAGCATGGCAACAATGGGTTGGAATCAATGCGCTCATATACTACAGCCCCACGTTGTTTGCAACTATGGGTCTAGACTATAACATGCAGCTTCTCATGTCTGGCGCTCTGAACTGCGTCCAGGTCATGGGAGTTCTGAGCAGTCTTTGGACACTGGACCGATTCGGAAGAAGGAACATCCTCCTGCTTGGTAGCGTCTGTATGTGCCTCTCCCATGTAGTCATCGCCATCCTTGTGGGGAAGTTTCCCCACGATTGGCCGAGCTATGTTACAGAGGGTTGGGTCAGCGTGGCGTTCTTGTTTGCGTTCATGCTGAGCTTCGGCTTCTCATGGGTAAGTTCAGCTTTAGCCTCAGACCCTTCATGTTATACAACAATGACTGATGAAGACACAGGGACCAATTCCATGGGCATTGCCGTCTGGAGTCTTCCCCTCTTCTCTCCGAGTCAAAGGCGTTGCGATTTCGACTTGCGGTAGTAAGTTGGACCATACAGCAATCACTCTGATACCTGTCTACTGACATATATGAAGGCTGGCTATAGAATTTTATCATAGGTCTCATTACGCCTCCCTTGATTAAGGGAACTGGAGTGCGATACTTGCGACAGTATCTTGCTGCTTGCAATCTCACTCTTCCGGCATCCTACGAGGCCTTGATCATTTGACGACGAGTCAGATGTTTGGTGAGCTATCCACGAGTCATCCCCCGTCACCCAGCTTCGGAAGCCGAAAGAGCGCATCGGGCCGTGGTCTGATTGACCGAGATGACCCTAAGCAGAAGCCATCCTGGGCTTTATTCGAGCACCCGGACTTAATCGTCAAAAGCTGACACTTTTGGAGATTGCATAAATACTTCGTCCTAGTCTCGGGCAGAATTCCGCAGTTCTAGTCTGGGTCAACGTGGACAAAGTTGAGGGCCGCTGCGAATCAGGAGACGAAAACCTTCGAGAGTAGTCTCTGTCACAGCGTCCAAAGTGTGCCCCCTCGTGTATTGTCAAGAACGACTGGTGCTTGGCTCTTTCCACTTACGGACAGCGTCCTCGTGGAAATGGTTTAGACCATTGTAGCATCGGGGAATATGTGTCTCCCAAGCACACCCAGGTCCCAGCGTCATAAACAAGATGGCTGCAATGTCATTGCCGATCCATCACTTAACCCACTTCCCGTGGATAGGAAACAATGATCATCCATGATACCCCGACTTCTTGGCGACTCTAAATGACTCTATGGGGCACCGGTGAAACCCGGGACAATCTTTTGGATGATCTAGAACATGGGCTGACACCCGGGGAACTTAAAGTGTGCAAAGCTTCGTGTGCGATCTGAGATCGTCCCAAATACGATTTGATTACCAAATCGGTGTAGGGCGCACATGAATCTGACTTCACGGACCCGGGGAATCAAGTCGGAGTACCATGCTCCGTTACCCAGCCGACCCGAAAACGAGCCGAACAGCTGCTATCCTTGACGATAGCTTGAGCTTCCTGTAATGGGTGTCATCTGCCCACACACAAGGACTTACTGCTCCAGACCTTGAAAGTGATGATGATGCCAACAAACCATTGGAACTTTCTGTAGTTATTTGCATAATCAACATTAATAAGGGGTATATGAAATACACGAGTCCGCTCATACGCTGAAACGCTCATACTATCTATGATCGACAACCAACATCGCTGGATCGTGTCACAGCTTTGGACAAAGAAAACGCTGGCTGTACTGATAGGGTGACCCCAGCAGATCGAATTGCCTCATACCTTCGGACAATGCGTGCCCGACCCAGCTCTCAAATACTTCCGACGCTATGAGCTCGTTCCTTGTCAATACTCTCAATCGACTGTGCCCTTCCGCCATGCTTCTTCGAACTCGGGTGACCGTCCATTTCGATCACAACCGTCGTTACGGTCTCCATCTGAATTCCTTCTGTTGCCCCGCGCCTCCGTAGTGACTCTTGGCTGATACTTCTGTGTGCGCCACTCCGACGGTGACCATCCCTCATCACGCCCCGTTCGCTTCCCCTGGGGAACAGCTTCCGTAGCCAACCGCCGGTGCCCTCATCCCCGTTTGACACGTGTTGGGGTTGACCGTCTCCGCCCTGGACCCAGACCATATTTCCGTACCTGCGGTTCGCTGGAGTACGCATGAACGCAAATGTTTCGATGCCAGTCTCCTCGTAGTCTGGCGAGGCGTTGAAGATAATGACGTGACGGGTCGTGGAAAAGAGAAGCACGTCAAGCCAGCCATTTGAGGCAATCATTGAGCCAGCCAGACAGAAGTACTCCAGGGAGACTGACCTGCCCGACATGGTTATGACACGACCCATGGCCAAGGGCGCAGTGCAAAGGATATAGATGATGGGGTAAATCAAGAAAGCCGGGTGGTGGCCGGCGCTGCTAGATGATGTGGCGGGGCCTTGCTGCCCAGACGAAGTTTTGGGACGACTAGGTTGAGATACTGTAGACATGGTGTGTGCATGACCGAGCTCGCGGCCACGGGTGGTCTTCGAGGCGGAGGAGTTGTTTGAGGAGGAGGGGAGCTGAAGGGAGGGGTCGGTGCGGCGGATGTGGTTGAAGATAAGGATGTAAAGGACCGCCGTGACGAAAAACGAGACGAACATCCAAAGGTAGTGGAGGTATAGACGCATGGCTTCATAACGGACGTTGACCCAGCACTGGAGTAGGAGTTAGTGGGAAGTTGACGGGATTGTGTTGATGATACATACCCAGGCAGCAGCGCGAACATAAAGACCTCCGTCATCGGCGCCATTGTTGGTGATGATTACACCCGCTACAGCCAGAGCGTAAACAAAGAACCAAACGAAGAAAATCATGCTGTAAAAGAGCCATGTCGGTAGCTTGTACTCTCTGACAACGGCCAAGTACGTATGGACAGCGATGGTGGTGATGAAGGCACTGGACGCCAGGTCGCCAGTAGAGATGAACCACCCTTGAGCCCAACAGGTCGAGGTCTCAACAATGATGCCATCCTTAGTCAACCAGGCTGCGTTCAGCAAGAATGCGAGGGCTTGTTGGATATCAGCCAACAGGAGGTTGTAGATGAGCACTAGAAACTGGTTGGGTGCGACCCGTTTTGTCTTGTTCTTCTTCCGGCTGCCGGCATAGACCGTATCCGGCAGACCCATCTCCTCCGCAAGGGCTGCATCCGGGTTCCGCTCCCCCGTCATATGCTCCGGCGTTTCGGAGGCTGGCGAAAGGTACCATGACACCAGTCGGTATGTCAGAACAAAGAAGAGCGCTGTCGTCGTGAGGAATGAGAGGAAGCCGAAGAAAGAAACAGCCGTCAGCCCGTGTCGGAGTACGCTGGGAAGTGGCGTCAGGGTCTGGCTGCTGGGGTCCATTGTGTTGGCGCGCGAGACAGGCGGCGTGTGTTCAACTCGTCGACAGCCGACTACCTTGGCGATGAACTTGACATCCAGACCAGTGGTTTGGATGATGACAGGCTTAGCTGTCGTGATATCGTGACACCGTCAACACCGGAGAATGACGAGTTCATCCCAAAAGCTACATCTGGGCAGAAAGTGGCTGCAAGCCAGATCATAAATGATCTCAGAGAGCGATGGTCCGGCCCAGAACCTAAGCCTACGGATACGGAGGCCAAGGTTGACGATCTTCGGGACCCTGTCCCTGGATGCAAAGTCCCTCACTTCTTAGTGGATGGAGAAAAGAAGGCAGGCCACCAAATTCATGATGGGATTTGGTTCTGCAGATGACTGACTAGCAGGGGATTTGAACCATGTCGGCATGGATGAGTTCCGTACGTAGCGCTCATGAGGAATCATATGGGAAGGGGTGTTGTGGGTCCCTTTTGCCCAAAAGAAGAGACAAACCCGTGAGATCGGTCGTCTTCCCCATCGCAGATAAACCCATGTGTAAAATCAAAGACAAGTGAAGGAAATGGGGGAAATGAGGGGCGATTTGCGTTCGCCCGTCTGGGGAAAGTGTCCCTGTGGGTGATGTTTCATCCGCAAATGTTAACCTCAACTGCCAGCTGCTGTAAGCTTTCCATGACATCCGTCACCCATGTTGTCATTTCAATCATCGCCAGTAAAGTCATTGCAAGGCGAACTACAAATACCACGTTGAGGCCGAGACTTCTTCAAAATAAGAAAGGATGGGCATTGCGGTCGCTCAACACGGCCGTAGAGGCTGGACTCTTCCACGGCCATCACTCACATCTCATTTCCCAAGGGATAATGAGTGAAGGCTTTGCTCAAGACAGGGCCCTGCCACGAGGGCTGGCTGAGCTAACGCTTGGCGAACTGATGCTAGCAACACTAGCCAAACCTTAGCTGAGCGCCACTGCACGCTGTGATTGGAGAATTTTACATCGTGGTCAGGGGCAGCTTTGCCCCCTTTGGAGTGTTGGGCGTCATGAGGAACCCGCCAGCATGAATCTGACATCGGACTGTTGCTCAAAGTCCCATAGTTAGGTTGTATTTATGGTGCGATGATCGAAAGCCTAGAATCTTTCTTGTGGGGTCATCACTGTTGCCTGTTGCTGTTGAATCCACTGTCTTTTACGCAATCGCGGACAGGGTTTTGTCTCCTCTTTACTGCGTCTTCAGCTCTGTTCCTGGAAGTCCACGTTGTGGGCTCTGACGCTAGGCCGAAGCTGGTCAGCTTTAACGAGAATGCGACGCGCCAGGCCTGGAATGTGGCGTCTAACAGTTTCTTAGCTCACCACGCGAGCTCGCAACCATCTGGTCTAGGCTGTTTCGGAATGTTCTTTCCTCGCTCATAGCATCGTCTTAGCACGAGTGAAAATCGCAATTTTCAACGTTGGAGCTAAGAGACGCAAGAAATTTCTGTGGTCGGATTACGAACATCTCGGCCGTTTTGCAGGCCTTCAACGTGTCTGACCGGGGATCTCTCCGAGGCTTGCGGCCATAGCTCCGGCTCTTCTGCTGTTGGCTTGTGTCAAACTGCCTATCAATCAGGCGGGTGGCGGCGCCACTTCACCGATCATCTCGCATTCTGCCGAAATGTCAAATCTGATCGATCAATGACTGCTGAAGAAAAAGAAACGCGGTGGGCTGTTGGTTGCTTCCAGGCTAGCCTCACTCATCATTCATTGCCCGCCATTTTCTCATACACAACCCAGCCCAGTCATAGATTTTGATGAGCAGCACGATCCATTCTGCTGTCTTCGTATGATTGGATCGTAAACGCAGGCAGTTGTCATGACTTCGAACCACCGGGCGGGCCGCTTACACGATCGATGAGAGTGGATCCATAATGTGGTGTTGGAGCCAGCTGAGAAGACGCAGTACGGCCGTAAGAGCCTCTTCTGCAACGCTGCATCCTTGAACAACAGGCCCTGAATCTTCAGCAACTCAGAAGTCGAATCATGTTTGCATCGTGAGCTTCGCCGTACTCCAGGATACCGGTAGATGCGACGCAGGTGCTAGCCTGGCACGGGCATATTTTCATGGCTCTCGATTGGGAGAGAGAAATTATCGCAAGGGGCCTCACTCAGATAGAAGAAGCACGGCGAATTGGTGACCGCTTCTTCCCCTGTAAAAGTCCCCTTAGCAAGGCGCTTGCAGGAACACGCAGGGCACGAGAGGCACACGCAGGGCAAAGCGAGCAGGCTTCGGCTCTTCGCAATCAAAGCTTAGACCGAGTTGCGTTAGCTCTGAGACTTT